GTTACTTGCTCAATAAATATCTGTTGAATCAAAATTTTAAAAATCATAAAAATGTTAAGAGTAAATATAACAGAATGTCTTATTTTCTGGAATTTTGAAAGTAAAATTTTCTAAGCATAGCATGAAACCTAGAAACCATGAAGATAAATATTGACCAATTTGACTACATTAACCATTTAACATTTCTATATTACATTATTGAAAGGTAGAAAAATAAGCTGGAAAAAATATTTGCAAAGTATTCATGTATAAATGTTTTCAAATAAATAAGAAAAGATAAGTAAACCAGTAGAAAATAGTAAAAAAAAAAAATACAACTTATAAAAGACAAAAGAACACATAGCTTGTAAAACATAAGAAATATGCCCAAATACACTCTTTAAAATATCAGTTATTTATCCTGCTAAATTTGCAAGAATTACCAAGATTTACAAATACCCAGGTCAGGTATATAAGGAAGCAGTTAAGTTTTATATACTAATTAGAGGCCCGGTGCATGAAATTCACGCAATAGTAGGCCTTATTTCCCCTGGTTGCCGGCACCGGCTTCCCCCTGGCACCTGGGACCTGGGCTTCCTTCTGGCTGCCAGCAACCACCCAGTTGATGGCCTGGGCCTCCCTCTGCAGGGCAAACATGGGGCGATGGCCTGGCCCCCAACCAATCACACTGCATCTGCCTTGGCTGGCCTGGCGCCAGTGGATGTCATAGTGTGGTCCCGGATGGTCATCCAGAAGGTCGTTCCGCTGTTCAGCCATCAGGTCTAATTAGCATATTGTGTGTTTATTATTATAGATGTCATACACTAACAGTTAACTTTCTCACATGCATTGTAAGTTAGTGTAACATTTTTGTTGATGTGGGCATTTTCTACTGAAATTAAAAGGCACGTTTACCTTTGACCCAACATGTGTTTTTTTAAATTTTTAAAAATTAAAAAAAATTTTTTTAAATATATTTTTTATAGTATTACAGATGTCTGCCCTTTTCCCCTTTTATCCCCCTTCTCCCAGCACCTACTCAACCCCCAGGTCTTCACCCACCTATTGCTCGTGTCCATGGGCTGTGCATATCTATATCCTAAAAGGCCCATGATCGTCATGCCCAAATGAGCAGCGGCTCTCAGGGAAGGCGAGGCGGGGTGTGGGCTACTAGCGGTGGAGAGCTACGAGTGGCGGAGAGCTACAAGGGGTGGAGGGCGGGGCTGGAGCTACAAGTGGTGATGGGCGGGGCAGCCAGCTGAGGCAAGCAGAAGCGAGCTACTCCTGTGCGCTGGGCCTCTAGTAAGTATATAAGATCTTTGGTTTATCTCTTCTCATCTTTCCAACCCCACATCGAGTCTGTTCCATGCCTCCATGCTTCAGGTCTTATTTTGTTGGTCAATTCATTTTGTTCATTAGATTCCACATATAAGTGAGATCATGTGATACTTGTCTTTCTCTAACTGGCTTATTTCCCTTAGCATAATACTCTCCA